CAAGGTTTGAGAAGAAAAAAATCATTATGAAAATATAATTATATTTTCCTTAAAATGTTCTTCCTAACTTCAGGCTTTATTCTCATGTCATATATAACTGTGATGTTCTGCAAAACAACAAGCTTTAAAACACTTTTTTTCTTACTGGTGAAAATCAGATGGTCAAATCTGTTTTCTCTCAGGCCATGTCCACACGTACACTGGTATTTTTAAAAGTTTTTCCTTCTTCCGTTTAAAAAAAATCTCTGTCCACATGAAAACGTAAACGCATGCTATGTCAAGAGCATGCCTAACCAACAGGTGGTGATATAATCTCAACCGTAAAGCCATGTTGGCCAATCAGAAGCCTGAAAAAGTTTCCAGTAGGCAGAGATAACAGCACAGGCTCTGACGTCACAAGCCAAAAACTCCGGTTTCGCTGTCTACACGATAACACTGCAACCAGAGTTTTTGAAAACCTTCACCCTGGCAGGCGTTTTCAAAAAGGTTTGGTTTCAGTGACCTGGTGCTGCGTTTGCGTGTGGACGAACGGCCAAACCGCGTAGAAAAAGCTGCGGTTTTAAAAATAACCGCGTTCGTGTGGACAGGGTGGCTTCACTGGAGGCAAAGCTGAGAGAAAGAGGAGACAAACTGAACAGAGAGGTTTGAACAGCTCTTCATTTCATCTTCAGCTCAGTCACTCAATGAGACTTCTTTCACAAAACAAACTCATTTCTTATCACAATCTCAAATTAAGTCAACACCAAAATATGCTAACAAATAGGGCTGGGTATTGATTAAAAAAAAATTGATATCGATACTGGTTCCTGAATTATACTTTTTCTGTACCAATTTTATGAAATCCGTTTTAACAAGATTACATCACGCATTACCTCAAAAAACTTGCATTACCTCATAAAACTGCTGTATTTTTTCAGTTTGTTGAGGTTTTTACAGACTTAGACTCATCTCCTGAGCCACTGCACAAATGAACAAAATGTAACCAACACAGTAAATCAGTGCAAATAGTTTTAATAAAGTTCAAATAGCTTTCAGTGCAAAATGAACCATTTTAAGTCAGTATGTGAGGCTCACTATAAAGCCATTATAAAGCTTGGAAGAGCCGGGACATTTTTTATATAACTCTGATTGTATTCGTCTGAAAGAAGATAGTCATATACACTTAGGATAGCTTGTGCTTGTTAGTGTGAGTAAATCATGGGGTAATTTTCATTTTTGGGTTAACTATCCCTTTAATGTCAAACTGAACATCACTATAACCCATGAATGGTGATAGGCTGTCAGTCAGTGCAGTTACATTGTTGAGCCAGTAGGTGGCAGCAAGGGACAGTCTTTATGAATCAGACATCATTAAACCATTATTTTAAGGGCTGTGTATTGCCAACAAAGTCATGATACGATACCTATCCCGATACAGAGGCCACGATACAATACATATTACGATACAGGACTGCACTGAATTTCACCTCAGCAGAATTTAGAAAAACAACTGTTTATTAAACATTGCATTAGGGATATGCCGGTATCAAATTTTCATGTTGCGGTTAATTGCTAATGCTTTTATCACGGTATTCGGTATTATCACGATATTGAAATTTAGTTTAAAAAATTACAGATTTTGAAATTTTATACTGTAATAAATTAAAAAATTATTACAGTATAACAGGTTTAATAAAATTTTTCCCTAATGTAAAGTGTGACTGAACAATAAAGAATCAAAACACTTTCAAACAATATCTAGGGCATGTTGTAGTCCAGATTAAAATGTAAAAAAAGTTTGAAAATAAATAAGTCTATTAGGTCTAAATATTTAAGTATTTGGCGCTGTGATGAACATCATAGCAAATACACAAATCTGAATGGCTGTTTAAATCATTTAAACACCTTTCAGAAACAGAAAGTAGTGCAGCTGCTTTGTTTACAGGGTTTCCGGGGTAACGGCTGCATTTAAATGAATTATTATTATTATTATTATTTCTGCAGTTTAGCGCCATCTGCTGTCAGAGAGTGAAAGTGCGCTTTCATCCAGAGCGTCTCTCACATGTTCCGCCATGTGCTTCTCGTCCACGCTTATTTACGTCAGAGTGCGCATGCGTCTTTCACGCAGCATACAGCGGTGTTGTGCATTTTGACCAGTTGATGGGAAAAGTATTCTTAAAATGCATTCAAAATTCGGAATAATTTGTAATATATAATTATTCACGGTATTTAGAAGTGCCCACGATAACAATATCGTGCATATTCATTACCGTGATATATCGCATTACCGAATACTGGCACAAGTCTACATTGCATACTATAGGACCATTGCTAACTATAGAGAGTTGACCTCTGCATTATGAAGGGTCTCCAGTACCACAGTATTACAGTAAAGGTAATGGCGGATATGTTTCATGTTAACATTGGGCATTCCCCACCAGTTGCAATATTCTGATTGTTTGCATCTTGTTTTTCAGCCCATAAATAATAGTGTACTTGTTCTAATAAATTTAATAAAATCATCTTTACATTGCTGGTAGGTTATCATTGCACAAATTAACACGCTCTGTACATTAAAAAAATTAAAATTAGAAGTGTTCTTTACAAATGCGCTGTCTTCACTGTAGCTTGTCATGCACCCACATTCAGTCATTCACACAGATCATGCTGCGCACACACAGACATTCAGCAACACAGAAACTTCTCAGAGTTGCTCTGCAGTTCTATCAATAAAATAGCTTAACTGCTGAAGAGCTCCATTATCTTTCTCAGCAAGGAGTTGGTAACATTATTGTTTCTGAAGCAATTAAAGCCACAGCTTCACGGTTAATAGAGAAAAATGGCAAAAAACAGAGGTAATACCGACCGATACCGAACTGCGGTCTATCAATCGGTGCATCCCTAAGCTTGTTCTTTATTAGTGTTTATCTGTGATGTGTTTGTCAGGATGTGGAGCAGGTTTCAGTGCGTGTGACTGATGGGACAGAAGCTCAGGATTCAGTCTGGAGCGTCAGAGATCAGAGATCCAGAGACACACAGGACTCAGAGCTCAGCCTCACTTTACTCTGTTATACTGACGCTCAGGATCATGAATCCACTGATCAAACCTCTGACTGTAACGCTGGAGAACAGCAGATGCTGCAGACGCCGCTGAAGATGTGCTCCGTCAAACTGGTGGACTGCAGGAACCTGATAGAGAGCCGAGGAGAAGAAACCACCGCAGAGAAAGAACAACAACACAGTGATGAGGAAGAGGAGGATGATGTGACTGATGGGACAGAAGCTCAGGATTCAGTCTGGAGCGTCAGAGATCAGAGATCCAGAGACACACAGGACTCAGAGCTCAGCCTCACTTTACTCTGTTATACTGACGCTCAGGATCATGAATCCACTGATCAAACCTCTGACTGTAACGCTGGAGAACAGCAGATGCTGCAGACGCCGCTGAAGATGTGCTCCGTCAAACTGGTGGACTGCAGGAACCTGATAGAGAGCCGAGGAGAAGAAACCACCGCAGAGAAAGAACAACAACACAGTGATGATGAAGAGGAGGAGGATGATGATGAGAATAATGATGATGTTGACGATGGTGTCTTTGTTCCTTCAGGTATGTTTCTTCCTTTAATGACCAGATATACTGAATTGACATAATTCTTTTAAAATTGTTAAAATATTATGCATGTGCAGACAAAATGTGTGTGATTTTGACAAGATGATATCTCAATATTTTCTGGGATTTTATCGATAATGATAATTTGACTATATTTTGCTGAGTGTGTTATTGTGGTAGTATCTTAAGGACCACCTTGGACAGCTGACTCCTTAAAGGGGTCATATGATGTTGCTAAAAAGAACATTATTTTGTGTATTTAAGTGTTCCGTTAAAGGTCCACTGAAGTGCATATGTGGTGACGTAATTTCAACTAAAACAAGAAGACAAGGGGCGGGATATATCGAGGAGCTCCAGCCCTTTGTTAAAGGAACACTCCACTATTTTTGAAAATAGGCTCATTTTCCAACTCCCCTAGACACTATTTCTGTAAAATGGCGCTTTAGAATAGGCTAATTATGGCAGAAGTAATTATTTTCTAATTATTAAGGCCCAATCCCAATTCTATTTTATACCCCTTCCCCTTGTCCCTTGAAACAGAGTGTCAAGGGGTAGGGGTGAAAATATTCCCCTAAGAATTGGGACTCCACTACTATACGTCACACGTTATCATACGTCGTCTAGCTCCTACAGTACACACACATATACTGGTGTGCTGGTGTGCATTAGAGCCTTTAATTACCGTTCTATATTAATGCGCTGCTTACTGACACACACACACACACATCAGATATCGCGCAGCTCACACATCCAGGAGCAAAGAAACTTGTCAACGCTGCCCCACGACTTTTATTAATAACAGTTTAAATACTGAATCGCTACATTACATTTTCCAGCAACCAGAGGATAAAATCGCTATTTTTTAAGTAAACTCACTCTAAAAAGAGAAACGCACAGACGCGCATACACGCAACTTTCATCTCTCTCTCTTTCTCTCTCTCTCTCTCGAATTGGCAATATTACAGAAAAGGGTTTAGCGATTTATAATTATTGGGGGGACTAGCCCTCCTCAATGTCTACGGTGGCTATCGCCCTGATCAGACATGAAAATAGCCTATGTTTTGGCACTATCCTGCAGTCAGTAATGATATGACGTTAGCAAACTAGCGATTTTTTGCAAACATTTCTTTGAGTAACATGACCGTAATATGAACTCACGATTGAATGCAACATAAAACAAATGATTACTTTTCGTTAAAATCTTTATTAATGCCCAAAAATGCTTACATTTATGTGCCTTCACAAGTTTATATCAGCACAGCAGTCACATATTCATAATTGTGACCACGTTTTCATTGGTTAACATTGTAACATGTTTACATCTACCAAAGTCTTTATATAGTGTGTGTATAGAGAGATTTTTTATTATATTATATATACATACATATTTTACTTTTACTCTTTGCAAAACTCTATACATTGGCTTGATTTTAATAACTTTAATGTATTTGAATACCAAACCAAACACTAGGAATATACAAGTATCGGATTGGTACTCGGTATCGGCAGATACTCAATATTCAATAACTCTGATCGTGGGCACAAAAAACTGATCGGGACACCCCTAATTACGATATTATCGCAGACGATATATTTATATATCGCACAACCCTCATGCAGACCTAAATTCATGTGGAGCAGCATTTGTTGTGAATTCTGCCAATTTGAGAACAGCTGCATGTGTATAAAAGATCAAAGCCTATGTAGTTTGATAACCACACTTAGACATATCACAATTTCAATTTTGTTTTGACTGATTATTCAGCTCTAGAACTTATAGAAAAAGTTATTTTATGCCAATTTTGTTCCTTTCAGATGACAGCGCTAGTTCATCTTCTGATGGAGAAACTGGATCTACATCTAAAGAGCAAAGGACAGTGACCAACTGTGGAAAAACACTGAGCAAACAGGGTCATTTAACGAGACATCAGAGAAAACACACAAAACAGAATAACTTCACATGAGAGCTCATATAAAGACACACGAAGAAAAATCTCTCCAGTGCAACGAATGCAACAAGTATTTCCGCAACAAACGAGATCTTTCTGTTCATAAGAGGATCCACACGGGTGAAAAGCCGTACAAGTGCCCTCAATGCGAGAAGAGCTTCAACCAGGGATCTAATCTGAAGACACATCTACTCAGGCACAGCAATGAGAGACCGCATCAGTGCAGTGAATGTGGAAAACATTTTATAAGCTCAGCTTCTCTAAAGTTACACCAAAAAATGCACTCTGATGACAAACCATATCAGTGTTCACACTGTGAGAAACGTTTCCATTATTCGACTCACCGTAAAACCCATGAGAGGATTCACACCGGAGAGAAACCGTACCTGTGCTCCGACTGCGGGAAGAGCTTCGCTAGTTCATTTGCTTTCAAAGTTCATCAGAGAATTCACACAGGAGAAAGACCGTATCCCTGTAGTGATTGTGGGAAGAGTTTTTATAAGCTAAGTGACTTAAAAGTGCACCGGAGGACTCATACAAGAGAAAAACCTTTTAAATGCTCACTTTGTGACAAGACTTTCGCTATATCAACTTCCCTGAAGATCCATGAACGAATGCATACAGGAGAGAAACCTTACTGCTGCTCCATCTGCGGCGAGAGATTCACTTTTAAATGGGGTTTTCAGACACACAAGAAGAAACACGCTGCTCCAGAATCATCATAGCTTCATCATGTAATTATTTTTAGGTTGTCAAAAACACAGTGTTACAGAAATGTTGTTTTATGGTTGTAAAAAGTAAAAAAAGTTGTCTCGAGGACAGGGAGGTCCAAACCTGCTCCTTGAGGGCCTCTGTCCTGAAGAGTTTAGCTCCAACCATAAATAAACACACCTGAAACAGCTAATCAAGAGCTGTGTTTAAAATATTGTCTGAAATCACCTGCCCCATTTGAAATGGCATCCAAAACCACACTGGATTTTGAGTATGCTCAATCAATCCCACAATGCACCGCAATAATGAGTGTACAACTGATGTACACCAACAGCTAGCGAATACCCATAATGCACTGTGAGGGTTGTGCCAAATTAACTTGTGTCTCGCCAGAAGATGGCACCTGCAACTGAATCATCCATCCATTTTTCAAAGCACTGGTCCAATGTGGCTACAGTGTAATATCATACAGCTATTAATTCCTTTTTATTTGATTATTCCATTGTTCTATTAAGGTTTATACACTGCTCAAAAAAATTAAAGGAATACTTTGAAAACACATCAGATCTCAATGTGGAAAAATATCATGCTGGATATCTATACTGATATTGACTGGGTAATGTGTTAGGAACAAAAGGATGCCACATCGTTTAATGGAAATGAAAATTATCAACCTACAGAGGGCTGAATTCAAAGACTCTCCGAAAATCA